GGTTGGTAGACAGCAACCACCCAGGGAGGTACTACCGTCCTGTGGTAGTAGGTTGGTAGACAGCAAGCCACCCAGGGAGGTACTACCGTCCTGTGGTAGTAGGTTGTAGACAGCAACCACCCAGGGAGGTACTACCGTCCTGTGGTAGTAGGTTGGTAGACAGCAACCACCCAGGGAGGTACTACCGTCCTGTGGTAGTAGGTTGGTAGACAGCAACCACCCAGGGAGGTACTACCGTCCTGTGGTAGTAGGTTGGTAGACAGCAACAGCCCAGGGAGGTACTACCGTCCTGTGGTAGTAGGTTGGTAGACAGCAACAGCCCAGGGAGGTACTACCGTCCTGTGGTAGTAGGTTGGTAGACAGCAACCACCCAGGGAGGTACTACCGTCCTTCCAAATGGGTGTGAAACAGAAACTTCAGATTGTTGTATTCACTGGTGGGATCGCTGGTGTTTTCTTTGTCTCACAAACAGGCGCATTTTGTAATTTCTTCTCAAACTAACGTCACACCATTTATATATGTATACTAACCATAAAATAGAGCGAAAAAGTAATGTGAAGAACCTGGTATCTCGTCTTCAAAGACCATAACAATGTGTCTACCTCATCTGCAATGAAAATGATGGCATGAATAATGAGAACTTTTAAAACTAGGGACGCCAAGCCCATGATGATTCTCTTCAAATCACTTGTTTTCTCTAGGCTGGAATATTGCTGTACACTAACTGCCCCCTTCAAGGTAGGCGAAATTGTTGACCTGGAGAGTGTACAAATAATTTTCGCGGCACACACAAGTACGATAAGGCACCTAAATCACTGTGAACGGTTTAAGTCCCTTGATTTCTATTTCCTGGAACGCAGGCGAGAAAGATACATGATAATATACACTTGGAAAATCTTAGAAGGATTAGCACCAAACTTGCACACGAAAATCACTGCCTGTGAAAGCAAAAGACTCGGCAGGAGATGCAACATTCCCCCGATGAAAAGCAGGGGCGCCACGAGTACACTGAAATCATCACAGTAAGTGTCCGGGGCCCAAGACTGTTCAACTGCCTCCCAGCATACATAAGGGGGATTACCAATAGACCCCTGGCTGTCTTCAAGAAGGCACTGGGCAGGCACCTAAAGTCAGTACCTGACCAACCGGGCTGTGGTTCGTGCATCAGTTTGCGTGCGACCAGCAGTAACAACCTGGTTGATCAGACACTGATCCACCACGAGGTCTGGTCTCAGACCGAGCCGCGGGGGCGTTGACTCCCGAAACCCTCTCCAGATATACACCCATTTGATTTTTCTTCCATTTTTTTTAAGATTTCTTGTTCTCGTGTATTTCCCTTCCTCTCCACGGGGAAGTGGAAAAGTCTTTCCTGTGTAAGCCATGCGTAGAAGGCGACTAAAATGATGGGAACAATGGGCTAGTAACCCCTTCTTGTGCACAAATTACTAAAAATAAGAAAGCTTATAAAAATGATATGTAAGAATGTGCATTGATGTACTGCAGATGATAAAGATATGATTGACGGTGTTATGAATGAAAAAAAAGTGGAAATCCCAACTCTATGCGAAACAAAGCTGAAGGGGGGTAGGGGAGTTTCAGTGGGGAGAAATAAATGGGATAGGGATAGTCATGGTCTGGCCGGGTACATAAGAGTCGACTTGCATTTTATGCGTCGATCAAAAAAAAAGTTTTAGCTATGAACCATAATTTTTAAAGGGGGTGGACCGGTAAACTAGCGGAAGGCCTCAATCAGATGACCACAAGCTCCAACGACGGGTCATAATCTGACTAAGACCCGCGTCAGGAAACACTTGTTCTGTTTTCTTAGGAACCTTACCTAACCTAACCATCACTCTGCGTTCTTTCTGACTCCAACATGACTCCTGGAGGTTATTCCGGGGATCAACGCCCCCGCGGTCCGGTCCATGACCAGGCCTCCAGATGGATCAGGGCCTGATCAACTAGGCTGTTACTGCTGGCCGCACGCAGTCCAACGTACGAGCCACAGCCCGGTTGATCCGGCACTGACTTTAGGTATCTGTCCAGCTCTCTCTTGAAGGCAGCCAGGGGTTTATTGGCAATTCCCCTAATGCTTGATGGGAGGCTGTTAAACAATTTTGGGCCCCGGACACTTATGGTGTTTTCCCTTAGTGTACCGATGGCGCCCCTACTTTTTATTGGGGGCATTTTGCATCGCCTGCCCAGTCTTTTACTTTCGTAGGGAGTGATTTCTGTGTGCAGATTTGGGACCATTCCTTCCGAGATTTTCCAAGTGTAGATTATGATATATCTCTCCCTCCTGCGTTCCAACGAGTACAAGTCAAGTGCTTCCAAGCGTTCCCAGTAGTTAAGGTGCTTGACAGAACTTATACGTGCAGTAAAGGATCTCTGTACACTCTCTAGATCTGCGATTTCACCTGCTTTGAATGGAGATGTTAATGTACAGCAGTATTCCAGCCTAGAGAGAACAAGTTATTTGAAAAGGAACATCATGGGCTTGGCATCTCTCGTTTTGAAAGTTCTCATTTTCCATCCTATCATTTTCTTTGCACGTGCGATCGTGGCACTGTTGTGATCCTTGAAAGTGAGATCCTCAGACATTACTACTCGACTCTGGTAAAGTATTTCTATACTTCTGTACCAGTCCTCTGTTCTCACAAGGTTTACAAGTGATAGAGATTTTTAGAGTACCAGGCCCTAGTTGTGCACTTGGTATAAAATTTCATGAAAGTTTTATATCACTTGCAAAACCATCTTTAAATTCAGATAAATTTTGCGAGGTTCAAAATTAATGTAAAATACTGTCACTAAAATGATTTCTTCGCTTTATATCACTTCGGAAATTAATATATTTTTTTGTAGAAAGCAGTGTTTTACATCTTTTTGGCTGTTGTAAGGGCAGATAAGTTACCGTTTACTTCTTACTGAGCACCCGCTAGGAAAAGTGGAGGATTTACTGCGGGATCCAGCGGCTTTGGTAGTTCCTCAGAGGTTCAGTAGATGGCTTTGGGACCTCAGCTAGTGGAGTATTTGGAGGCTAAGCTGAAGAAGGATTCGGAGCATCATCTGGTGGAACCTTCGGAGGATCTGCTGGGGGAGGCTTTGCAGGACCAGCTGGTGGAGCCTTCTGATGAAGGTTTCGGGGCAGATGGCAGTGAAAGTTCTCTCATCGGAAGTTACAAACCTTAAAGTCCCGTAGTTCCCATCTTAAGAGACGACCGTCAGGGACCTGATGAGTATGGAAACTAAAATCTCAACTTTGAAACTGGTGATGGCATCAGTCGTCAGGAGAAAGGCTGTGATGCCTGCTCACAATCGTGTGAGGTACTTGTTGTCAAATGACAGTAGTGAGTGGTAGCTGTGTGATATTTGCTAGCTGACAAGTGAGTGATAGCTGTGTAGTAGTTGTTAGCTGACAGCAATGAACAAAACAAGCACACGCTTCTGCCTCCTGTATGTGGCATATGCTGTGTAGCTGACTGTGGGACATATTTTAACCATTTCCCAACTTGTCTAGGGTTTAGAGCTTTTCCCCGGGGTGCCTGTCGGGATCTTGGAGAATTTTCAGAGGAGTCCTTTGGTGTTAATGTTTCTTTTAAGAGATGTCATTTTAACGTGGTATAAAAGTTGCTGTCTGTGATGAACATTTTAATAATTTTTCTAACTTTTGCGGTTTATTATAGTTTCATTTATTGCTGTATTTTTTATTGCTCTGTAAATACCTCAGCTACTTCTAGTACTATCAAATGGAAGTCAATATAAATTTATGAAATTCCGGGCAGAAGACCAGTTTTGCGACGATGTTGTAAGGCTGTACCACTTGATCTCTTCCTCTCTTCCCTTAACAGCAACATTCTGACATGATCGGGTTTTTTCTCTCGGATTACATCACAGAAATCTTGCTACCAGAATCCTGGATATGCTTCTGCCCGGTACATGAGTGAGCAAGCTAGCAAAACCGGTTGTATGCATATAGGCCAGAACGAGAGCGGAGCAACGACAACCGCGACCAGAGTTAGCGATTACAAGTGAGTATTTCTAGGTGAGCTTAACTCATTATTGATTACGCTCAAAAAAAAAAAATGTCCTTGAATATTGTCTTTCACCTCTACGTATAAGTGATTTTTTTTTTTCCAAATATATAGCAATGTTTCATCCTTTTTAATTATTTGTTGCATTGAGACTTAGTATAATGGATCATATGATAATCTTGTAAATAAATAAGACTAAGTGTAAACATGCTAGGTAGTGGGTACTACCGTCCTGTGGTAGTGGGTTGGTAGACAGTAACTACCCAGGGAGGTACTACCGTCCTGTGGTAGTGGGTTGGTAGACAGCAACCACCCAGGAAGGTACTACCGTCCTGTGGTAGTAGGTTGGTAGACAGCAACTACCCTGGGAGGTACTACCGTCCTGTGGTAGTGGGTTGGTAGACAACTACCCAGGGAGGTACTACTGTCCTGTGGTAGGTTGGTAGACAGCAACCACCCAGGGAGGTACTACCGTCCTGTGGTAGTAGGCTGGTTGACAGCAACCACCCTGGGAGGTACTACCGTCCTGTGGTAGTAGGCTGGTAGCAACCACCCTGGGAGGTACTACCGTCCTGTGGTAGTAGGCTGGTAGACAGCAACCACCCTGGGAGATACTACCGTCCTTTGGTATTATTATTATTATAATCAAAAAGAAGCGCTAAGCCGTCCTGTGGTAGGCTGGTAGACACCAACCACACATCTGGTAGGTCACCAAGGAGCCTACGATGATCTAGATCATTATACGTATATGTAAGTATATCTTAATAGATATCTAAATGCCACCCTATTGTAAAACAGTTTTTTCACTGTTATTCAAACAATGAAGATATATCAGGGTTGTGTAAGATCTCGTTTGAGATGATAGACTAACCTGAACCGTTTTCCGTGTGTCCTTCACCTTTCTGATAGTGATGGTCTGGACAGGTATATAAGAGTTGACTCGCATGTTATGCGCCACTCACTCTGCGTTCTCTCTGACGCCAACATGATCCTGGTAAGATATTTCTGTACTTCTGTACCAGTCCTCTATATTCTCACAAGCTCTAGTGATAGAGGTTTTTAGAGTGCCACCCTCTAGCTGTTCAATACTTTGTATAACATTTCAGTAAAGTTTTACACCGTATTAAAAACCATGTTTAAATTTAGAGAAATTTCGCGAGGCTAAAAATTTGTGAAAAACTGTTACCAAAATGACTTCTTTGCTCTTGAACACTTCGGAAAGTAATTCATTTCTCGTCTTGCAGGAAGTAGTATTTTGTACTTTGTTGGTTGTTGTGGGAGCCGATAAGCGTCCGTCTACATCTTACGGAGTACCCGCCAGGGGAAGTGGAGGCTTCACTGCGGGATCCAGAGGAGGCTTTGGTATTTCATCAGTTAGAGGTTCGGCAGGTGGCTTTGGGACCTCAGCTGGTGGAGCATTTGGAGGGTCAGCTGGAGGAAGATTCGGAGCATCATCTGGTGGAGCCTTTGGAGGTTCTGGTGGGGGAGGCTTTGGAAGACCAGCTGGTGGAGCCTTCGGGGGTTCAGCTGGTGTAGGTTTCGGGGGAGCTGGCAGTGGAAGTTCTCTTAGTGGAAGTTACACTCCTACAGGTCCCGTAGTCCCCATCTTAGTAGATGACCGTCAGGGACCTGATGAGTATGGAAACTACAATTTCAACTTTGAAACTGGTGATGGCATCAGTCGTCAGGAGCAAGGCGCCCCTCAGGGTCCAACTGGTGCTGTGGCAGCACAAGGAGGATGGACGTGAGTATTCTTTATAGTTTTCACAGAATAATTATGTAAGATGTTTCTCTCGAAATATATGACATTATCTTAGGTTAATAACGAATCTAATTGTAGTACTGTGTTTCAGATTTACTTTCCCCGATGGAACTCCCGCTGCTTTCAACTTCATAGCAGATGAAGGTGGTTACCGCGTGGAGTCTGACCTGGTGCCCACACCTCATCCTCTTCCCGCCCACGCTATCGCCCAGATCGAGAAGGCTCGCCAGGAAGACGCTGCTGCAGCTGCCGCAGGTGGACGAGGGTCATACAGTGATGCTTCAAGTTCTGCGCCTCAGTTTACTGGAGCACCTGCTAGAGGCTTCGGTGGTTCACCTGCTGTGGGTCGGTGCTTCACCTGCTGGTTGTGCTTCACGGGTGCGTCTTCACCTGCTGGTGGCTTCGGTGCTTCACCTGCTGGTGGCTTCGGTGCTTCACCTGCTGGCGGCTTCGGTACTTCACCAAGTAGCTTCGGAACCTCACGCCGTGGTGGCGCTCCTGTGGCTCCCAGTAGAACTTACGGTGCCCCATAAGCATTACTCTTTATCGTACGAATGACTCCATCATTCTTGATAGGTATTCATTAGATATTTTCTCACTTGATACCTCGTTCTGTTCTGACTTCTAAGTCACTCCAATTTCATGATTCAAGTCCACTAATCTTGCCACACACATTCTGTTATTGGACGCTGCATTGACAATAAATACGCTTATTACTTTTATTGTTACGTATTTAATAAAAATAAAATGATTTTAAATATACGTTTTTCTATATATAAAATTCCAATGACTTAATTCCTAGAAACATTGCCTTACAAGAATAAAAACAAAAGTTAATGCATTGGTAATGTGTTTAGGAAGATAACATGTGTTCAATATAATGTTGTTATAAAGGATTCAGCATAAATTTTGGTAGCATAAGTGTACTTTATGGACCAGAGAAGCTTAGAAATGATTTTTGTATAGTTGACTTTCTACATCTCAAAATTACCCTCTTTCCACCTTTTCTTATGGATATGTTGACTAACACCTGTGTGGTGGTTGTGATGTCTGCTCTCAGTAGTGAGTAATAGGTGAGATATGGTTGTGATGTCAGCTGATAGTGAATGGTAACTGTGGTGGTAAGCTGACAGCAGTGAGTTGTAGCTGTGTGGTAGTTGTTAAGTGAGTGTTGAGTAGCAGCTGTGTGGTTTGTGTTGTATGCTGGTGGTTGTCAACTAACAGTAGTGACCGGTAGCACAGTTGTGAGTAGATGTGTGATGGATGTTAGCTGACACTGAGTGGTGATTGTCAGTTGACTAAGCAGTTGCTGTGTTGTGGTTGTGCCGTCAGCTGACAGTGGCAAGTGGCAGCTGTGTGGTGGTTAGCTGACATCAGTGAGTGGTAGTTGTATGGTGGTTAGCTGACAGAAGTTAGTGGTAGTTGTGTGGTGCCTAGCTTGCAGCAGTAAGTGGTAGGCGAGTAGTGGATAGCTGATAGCAGTGAGTGGTAGCTATGTAATGGATGTTAACTGGGAGAAGTGAGTTTTAGTTGTGTAATGGTTGTTAGCTGATAACATTCAGTGATAGCTGTGTAGTGATTGTTAGCTGACAGCAGTGTGTGGTAGCTGTGATGTTAGCTGTGATGTTGCGAGACAGAAACAGAAGGGAAAATTCTCTGAGTCAAAGGAGAAGGTATCAGTGGTAACCCATGTCAGAGTGAAGGCCACCACTGACTCCAACACCTACCTTCCCGTCCCCTCGCACCTTCCGGGGTAAGTGGTGGTCACCTCAGAGGTTTGCAGAAAGTTACGGAATATTAAGGAAATGCAGTAGTCAGCCTTAAACTGCATCTAATCGATATTAATTGATCTATTACCATATGGAATAATTTTACCTACGTAGTTAATAGAGCCTCAAACTCAGGCTATATATAACATTGCATTATTATAAGAATCAGATTAACTATTTGTCAACTATACTATCATATATTAGAGAATGTTCCAGAAAGTGTTACCAGAGACGATCTTTACATATTTACAAATATAGTACCAACATATTTACATATCCTGTTCCATGACAGTTGCACTTGTTTCTGGCTGTCTAAAGAAACTCACACTTACGATATTTAAGTTTTTTTCTATTAAACTGTGCATTATTTTGCATAATTACACAAATACAGTTACATAGATTATCACACATAGCAGCATATGTGTAGAGACCCTAGGATAACCCAAAATAGTCAAAGTAACTTATATTCTAATTTTTTTTTCGGTGCGCGCTCGTTTTCGACGGAAGTAAGTTACTGATAAATTCCAGTAATTACGACCACGATAAATTTGGATTATCAATGTTTTCAAAGCAGGAAATGCACAAACAGCTTCTCGCAGTGTCAGTACCCGGCTAGGGCTTGCCTTATATGATTTTTAGCCAAAAAAAATGTTCTCGGTTGTTTGTTGGGCTATGTTGTTTAAATTTGGGCAATGTATGATGGAAAGATGCTTCTTAACGAACACTAAAAATGGATGAAATCGGATAAAAAATAACGGAGTTTACTTCTCAGTCATTAGACGTCCCTTAAAAATCTTAAAATAAAACAACTGTTTACAGCGAACAGTTCACAGGGGTCTAGAACGGACTCCTGCAATATTAGTTTTCTCTGTTGTTCTTCTGTTGTTCATTCTGTGGTATAATTAACTATTTTTGCGCTTAAAAATCCTAAAAAAAGCAATGTTTACATACAGCTTGTAGGGGGTCTGGAATGGATTAATCGTATTTACATACAATCCAGTGGGGAAATTAGGTTCGGGTCACGACCATATCGGGTCGCGACCAGAGTTTTTCAGCAAATTATGATCGTGAACAGAGGGTCCATTGTACATATATATATATATATATATATATATATATAATATATATATATATATATATATATATATATATATATATATATATTCATAGGGACACTTGATAGATCTAGGACTTTAGTGTAGCAACCAATACATCATCAACTTGCAGAAATGAGTAAGAAGTCCAAGCAGATTAGTTTGGGGGGATAACTTCTAGCTTCGAGCTAGAAATTGTTCCTCTGAACGAATCTTCTTGGACCTCCTATTTATTTCTGCAACACTGCAACCTCCTGATGTGTTGATTGCCAGAAAAAAGGCCTATAATTATCATTCAACTACCCCTGTGGTTGTTTTATTTCTTGTATCACTTGTTCAGTATTATAGCAAAAAAAAAAAACATGGTGCTTATTCGGCAGAAAACACCCTCGATATTTAGGCCTAACTCGCCAGTTTGGCGATTTAGACCTAAATGGCATGCGCTTCTGCCTCCTCCTGTGTAGCTTGTAGCGTACAACTGCCTGTGGGACATATTTTAACCCTTTGGCCATCTGTCTACGGCTACGACCATTCCACAGGAGTTTACCTGGGGTTTACCTGGAGAGGGTTTCGGGGGTCAACGCCCTCGTGGCTCGGTCTGAGACCAGGCCACTGGGTGGATCAGGGTCTGATTAACCAGGCTGTTACTGCTGGCCGCATGCAAACTGACGTACGAACCACAGCCCAGCTGGTCAGGCACTGACTCTAGGTGCCTGTCCAGTGCCTTTCTGAAGACAGCCAGGGGTCTATTGGTAATCCCCCCGTTGTATGGTGGGAGGCTGCTGAACAGTCTTGGGCCCCGGACACTCATTGTATTATCTCTCAGTATATATGTGGCGCCCCTGCCTTTCAGTGGGGGAATGTTGCATCTCCTGCCGACTCCCTTGCTTTCATAGGAAGTGATTTTCGTGTGCATGTTTGGCACAAATCCCTCTAGGATCTTCCAAATGTTTATCATGTATCTCTCTCGTCTGCGTTCCAGGGAATACAGATCAAGGACCCTCAACCGTTACCAGCAATTTAGGTGCCTTATCGTACTTGTGTGTGCCATGAAAGCTCCTTGTACTCTCTCAAGGTCAGCAATTTCGCTTGCCTTGAAGGGGGCCGTTAACGTACAGCAGTATTCCAGCCTAGAGAGAACAAGCGATCTGAAGAGAATCAACAAGGGCTTTGCGTCCCTAGTTTTGAAGGTTCTCATCATCCATCCTATCACTTTCCTAGCAGATACGGTAGATACATTATTGAGGCCTTCGAAGGCGAGATCCTCTGACATCATCACTCCCAGGTCCCTCACATTACTTTTTCGCTCCACTGTACGGTTAGAATTTGTCGTAAACCTGATACAGTTTTAATTTCTTAAAGTTTTCCATATCTCAACAGTTGAAATTTCTCTTCGTAAAAAACTTCGCATTGTTTTGAGTGGCCCATTTGAAGATTTGGTTGATGTCCGCTTGGAGTCTTGCGATGTCTTCAATGGAGGACACTGTCATTGCAATTCGGGTGTCATCCGCAAAGGAAGTCGCGGAGCTATGGCTTACATCCATGTCTGTCAGACATGAGGATGAGGAATAGAATGGGAGTGAGTACTGTGCCTTGTAGAACAGTGCTTTTCACCGTAGCTACCTCAGACTTTACTCAGTTTACTATTACTCTTTGTGCTCTATTTGTCAGGAAGTTACAGATCCATCTGACAACTTTTCCTGTTATTCCTTTATCGCGTATTTTGTGCGCTATTACACCATAGTCACACTTGTCGACAGCTTTTGCGAAGTCTGTGTAAACTACATCTGTATTTTGTTTTTCCTCTACAGCATCCAGGAGCTTGTCATTATGATCAGTAGCTGGGATAGGCAGGAGCGACTTGCTCTAAACCCTTGTTGCCCTGGGTTGTGTAACTGATAGGTATCTACGTGGTTGGAGATCTTGCGTCTTAGAACCCTTTCAAAGATTTTTATGATATGGGATGTTACAGTGCTGTCAGTCTGTAGTTCTTTGCAATTGTTTTACTGCCACCTTTGTAGAGTGGGGCTATGTCTGTTGTTTTTAGTGTGTGTGGGATGGCCCCTGTGTCCATGCTCCCTCTCCCTAGAATGCTGAAGGCACACGACAAGGGCTTCTTGCAGTTCTTGATGAACACGGAGTTCCATGAGTCTGGGCCTGAGACGGAGAGCATGGACATGTCATTTATTGCCTTTTCAAAGTCTTGTGGTGTTAGGATAGTATCCGAGACTTTTGAGATGACCAGATTTTGGGTCCCGTTCATAAAGAATTCATTTGGTTTTCCGACCCTTATTCTGGGCAGCGGCTCGCTGAACACTTGAGTCATATTGGGACTTTAGTATCTCACTCATTTCTTGGCTGTCATCTGTGTATGTCCCATCTCGCCTAAGCAGTGGCCCAATACTGGATGTTGTTTTTCCCTTAATTTTTTTTTTCAATTTCCTTTATGGTTTTTAGTTCTTCCTGCGATTCTTGTCTCCTGTAAGATTCCTTCAGCTAAAGTTCGATATTTGCAATTTCATTGACCAGTGCCTCCCTTCGTATTTCAGATATATTGGCCCCTCTCAGCAGCTCTGTGACTCTTCGCCTTCGTCTGTATAGGGAGCGTCTTTCTCTTTCTAGTTTACATCTTCTCTTTCTTAATGGAATGTGCCTAGAGCACATCACAATAACCACAGAGCTTATTTTTTCTAGGCAGAGTTTCGGATCTGTGTTCTTTAGGATATCTTCCCAGCTTGTTTCATTTAGGACATGGTTGACTTATTCCCATTGCATGTTTTTGTTACTGAAATCGAATTTTGCGAAGACACCTTCATGACTGATCACATTTTGCTGGTCTGGAGCCCTGTGCATACATGTCTGTACCTCTATTATGTTGTGATCTGAGTGTATTGTCTTCGATACGGTTATATTACGTATCAGATCGTCGTTGTTAGTGAAGATTAGGTGTAGCGTATTTTCTAGTCTTGTAGGCCATAAGCGATCAAGAAAAAGAGAGCGAGAAGCAGTCATAGGCAAGAGAGCTGAGGCGCATGGCAGTAAGGGAGAACAGACACGAACCTTCGGAACCTTCCAAGGGGAAAGGGAAAAGGCAGACGCTAAATGTACATACAAGGGAGGTGAATTTGGTGCAGAGATTTAATAGCTCATGTGTGTATGAATTTTCATTTGAGCTGCTTCCTGGGGTGATCTCCGCTAAACTATTATTTGCTACATTCCTCCATTTTAGGTAATTCAAGTTGAAATCTCCCAGTAGCAAGATGACTGGGGCAGGAGTTGGGAGATTTTCCAGACAGTAGTCAATTTTCAAAAGCTGCTCCTGGAAATGCTGGAAGTTGCACCTGGAGGCTTGTATACAACCACAATGAAACAACGTGCGCCTGTAGAGATCTTCTAGAACTTTCAGAGAAGTCTTTTGGTGTGAACAATTTAATGTTATTTTAAAGTTATACTGTTATTAAAACGTGCAATGAAAAGTCCTTGTTTGTGATGAACATTTTAATATATTTCGTAACTTTTGTAGTTTATTTTGTTTATTGAGTGCGTTGTGATTTTTGTTCTGTAAATATCCCAACTAGTATTAGTACTATAACTAATACTAATAAAAAAGATGGAGAGGTGAGTGTATCAGATGGAAGTTAAGAAATGTGAATATACGAAATGCCGGGCAAAAGACCAGTTTTGCGACGATGGTGTAAGGTTCGGCTGTACGACTTCGTCTTTCTCGCTTCCCTTAACAGTAACTGAGATCTTACCAGTCCACAGTGACGTCAGTGTTGGTTTTCTGGTACATGTACAAGGTATACAGGCCTTGCTGACATCAATGACTACTATATAGAAAGCCTCTTGTCATGCACAGCATTTCGGGCATATTAGGTCAGTTTTGTTCCAGCATAGAGACTCACACCAGTCGACTAACTAACTTTGCCACTTACGTTGTTGGTCGCACGCAGGCTGTCGTAACTGTCTTCTGTACGCACGACGGCGACTATTGCAAACCTTCTACCTCATATTTCCGTTGAAGACCTTTATTCCTTCAGCAATTAGCTGCTCCCCTTCAAGGTTAACCTTCAACAGTATTGCTTGAGTATTTACTTCGACTTCATGCAGGACGAACATAATTATTTTGAGGAAGAATAATCGTTGCAGTTGTAGTTACTGGAAAATATCACCTCTGCACTCACTAAATGTTGGATAACGGACGCTGGAATGAGGAAGTTATAATCATTCCACAGCGTGAATTAATAAATCTTAATAATTAAGAATAAAAGAACTGTGTGGGTGTGGGTGTACTCACCTAATTGTACTCGCCTAATTGTGGTTGCAGGGGTCGAGACTCAGCTCCTGGCCCCGCCTCTTCACTGAGTGCTACTAGGTCCTCTCTCTCCCTGCTCCATGAGCTTTATCATACGTCATCTTAAAGCTATGTATGGTTCCTGCCTCCACTATCTCACTTGCTAGGCTATTCCACTTCCTGACTACTCTATGACTGAAGAAATACTTCCTAACATCTCGTGTGTGTGTGTGTGTGTGTGTGTGTGTGTGTGTGTGTGTGTGTGTGTGTGTGTGTGCGGCGTGAGAGAGAGAAATTTTTTGTATGCCAAGAGTCTGCGAACATTAATATGAAGATAGGAAAAAAACAAGAACAAGAACTAGTAAGAAAATAGAAGAAAACCAAAAGGGGTGTGTATATATATGCTTGTACATGTGTAGTGTGACCTAAGTGTAAGTAGAAGCAGCAAGACGTACCTGAAATCTTGCATGTTGAGAAGAAAAAGACACAACAACCTACAATGAAAAAATTACAGACTTCGTTTTACCTCATGGAGACGAGACCTCCCTGGTTTGCTGTTTGAGTCCCTAGTAAATAAAAATAAATCTAATATTATAATATTAAGATTCCGTTCCCCTGGCAGACGAGCCTCCACTGGCTGGTTTGCTATTGTTGCATAATTAGTGTGCTATATATATAATCTAAATATACATCCGGATTTAAGGTCATAATCCCATCCCGGGCAATCCGGCCGGTACTGGCTTTGAGTTTGCAATCGTTGTCTTACATTTATTGAGTTATATTAATCCTAGTATCGAGAAACAACCAGAACCACCACCTCCATCCCTCCATTCCTCCCTCCCTCCCTCCTTCCCTCCCTACCTCCCTCCCTAATCCTTACCTCCCTCCACATCCGTTCCCTACACCCCTCAAGGAAGGTTCCTTGATGTTGGTGAGGGGCTCTTGATTTAGGGAATTGGATCTGTGCTCCAGTTCCCCGAATTAAGCCTGAATGCCTTCCACACCCCCCCCAGGCGCTGTATAATCCTCCGGGTTTAGCGCTTCCCCCTTGATTATAATAATAATAATCCCTACACCCCTGCCGGTTTCCTTTCCATTACGACCACTTGTCAATTTCCTGACATCCCAGGGTTTACAAATCTTTCAGTTTCTCACCAGACCGTCATATTGTTAATGTAGACGTGAAATTGTCATACTATGAATGGTACACAATACAGACAAGTTGATGTGTAAAACACAGGTGGACCCCTTGTCTGTCTTTATTAGCCTTTCATCAGTCAGAGAAAGACGGAGTGGAGAAGGGGTTCTGAGGTATCAGTCCCTCGGCCTTGATGGAAAATCCTCAGTCATAGTGATGTCTGGAACGAATGTAAGTAATCAGAATAAGAGACTCGTTGATTATTCGTAATTTTCTAGGGATTAATGGACCGCACCCATCACAAAGCATCAGTGGCACTCATTTCCGGCCTGACACCAAACTGACAGCAAAGGTGTCACTGTAAGAGATATTGTGTAGGCCTAAGGGCTGGAGAAAACATTTCGGGGTATTGATTCTCAAGGTGACACTGCAGTCCGACTAAATACCCTGGCCAGAAAATATGCCACGGCGACCGCAAGTACTAATAGGTGAGTACGACTGAGTATACCTAGGTGAGTACGACTGAGTATACCTAGGTGAGTACGATTGAGTATACCTAGGTGAGTACGACTGAGTATACCTAGGTGAGTACGACTGAGTATACCTAGGTGAGTACGACTGAGTATACCTAGGCGAGTACGATTGAGTATACCTAGGTGAGTACGACTGAGTATACCTAGGTGAGTACAACTGAGTATACCTAGGTGAGTACGACTGAGTATACCTAGGTGAGTACGACTGAGTATACCTAGGTGAGTACGACTGAGTATACCTAGGCGAGTACGACTGAGTATACCTAAGCGAGTACGACTGAGTATGCCTAGGTGAGTACGACTGAGTATACCTAGGTGAGTACGACTGAGTATACCTAGGTGAGTACGACTGAGTATACCTAGGTGAGTACGACTGAGTATGCCTAGGTGAGTGCAACTGAGTACGCCTAGGTGAGTACGACTGAGTATACCTAGGTGAGTACGACTGAGTATACCTAGGTGAGTACAACTGAGTATGCCTAAGGTGAGTACAACTGAGTATACCTAGGTGAGTACGACTGAGTATACCTAGGTGAGTACGACTGAGTATACCTAGGTGAGTACGACTGAGTATACCTAGGTGAGTACAACTGAGTATACCTAGGTGAGTACGACTGAGTACACCTAGGTGAGTACGACTGAGTATACCTAGGTGAGTACGACTGAGTATACCTAGGTGAGTACGACTGTGTATGCCTAGGGTGAGTACAACTGAGTATACCTAGGTGAGTACGACTGAGTATACCTAGGTGAGTACGACTGAGTATACCTAGGTGAGTACGACTGAGTATACCTAGGTGAGTACGACTGAGTATACCTAGGTGAGTACGACTGAGTATACCTAGGTGAGTACGACTGAGTATACCTAGGTGAGTACGACTGAGTATACCTAGGTGAGTACAACTGAGTATACCTAGGTGAGTACGACTGAGTATACCTAGGTGAGTACAACTGAGTATACCTAGGTGAGTACAACTGAGTATACCTAGGTGAGTACGACTGAGTATACCTAGGTGAGTACGACTGAGTATACCTAGGTGAGTACACTGAGTATACCTAGGTGAGTACGACTGAGTATACCTAGGTGAGTACGACTGAGTATACCTAGGTGAGTACGACTGAGTATACCTAGGTGAGTACGACTGAGTATACCTAGGTGAGTACAACTGAGTATACCTAGGTGAGTACGACTGAGTATACCTAGGTGAGTACGACTGAGTATACCTAGGTGAATACGTGTAAAAAGTATTATTTCGATATGTTCTAACTTTGTGAGTGAAAGTGATTTTTTCACATGGAGAACTGATTACATCTTCTAATTTAGCTTTTTGATGGCAGACTTAATTATAGTGGTTCATATGAAGAGCTTGTAAATAAAGGGAATAAAAATGTACATTAATTTTATCTCGAGAAAACTGCACGTTCTGAATGTTAGTCGTACAGGAATAACACACACATACACATTCACACTCACGCACATGCACTCACGAACTTGTGATTCTATCGTAGTCTCTGCTCGACAACTGTCAACAAAATCTTTCCCCTGTTATCTTCTTGATATCTTGTGAGGAACACTACCGAGACCACGATAATGTAGGCAATTTTGAATGTACATAAATATACCCAAAAAGGTATCTACCTGATATCATTTTGTCAAACAGTTTTACCGTGTTATTCACACGGTGAAAAGAAATCAGGAATATGTATGATCTCGTCATGCACAAACCTGATCCTTTTTCTGTACGTCCTTCACCTTTTATTATACGGTGATATGGCCGGGTATATAAGAGGCGACTATCTGCGATGCACCACTCACTCCTGAGCAGTCTCTGTCGCCAACATGATCCTGGTATTGTAGATGAATGGTTCAGAGAACCCGACATTTGATAAATTAGACACATGTGCCAACTCTTGGGTATCTTTATTAGAAACGTTTGTCCCAACAGTGGCTTCATCAGATTTGAACTGAACACATCGACTCAAGTTGAAGGGACTGATTACTATATTACTGCTGTTCTTCAAGTTTTCTCCTATGTATGGACTGATGAGCCACTGTGGGCGAAACTTTCTCCTAAAAAAGATACCCAAGAGGTGCTCATGTGTCTAATTTATCAACATGATCTGTCTAAGAATATCTATAACTTTAGTGCCATACAGCAACTCTCACCAAAACTTTGAGTGAACAGAGAGTGGCCAGCTTGTATTGTGTTTGCTGCTTTTATAATAAACCAGATTTTGTCCCTTTAAAGCTATTTTCCATTCAGAGAAAAGTCCTTTCAAGCTGAAGTAATATAAATGATAAAATTATGTCATTATGTCTTAATAATTGAGAATAGTAGGTTCATTATAGTTTTATATCGTGCCGAAAGTGGTACTGTGGCACCTGGTGGTTATTGTGGAGTGAAAAAGCTCCCTTTCTTTCTTAATACGAGCAACCCCAGAAGAGCGGCTTCAGTGGTGGGTCTGGAAGTGGATTCGGCAGTTCTTCTATTAGAAGCTCGGCAGGTGGATTTGGAGGATCATCAGCAAGCTTTGGAACCTTAGCCGGTGGAACCTTTGGAGGAACAGCCGGTGGAGCTTTCGGAGGTTCTGCTGGGGGAGGTTTTGGAGGGCCAGCTGGTGGAGCCTTCGGAGGTTCAGCTGATGCAGGTTTCGGGGGAGCTGGCAGTGGAAGTTCCCTTAGCGGAAGCTACAGACCTTCAGGTCCCGTAGTCCCCATCTTAGTAGATGACCGTCAGGGACCTGATGAGTATGGAAACTACAATTTCAACTTTGAAACTGGTGATGGCATCAGTCGTCAGGAGCAAGGCGCCCCTCAGGGTCCAACTGGTGCTGTGGCAGCTCAGGGAGGATGGACGTAAGTATTCTGTAATAGTTTGTCACAGAATAAATATCTTTTTTCTTGAAAAAATGTGAAATCCCCATGCGTTTACAACGAATCTTACTGCAATATTTTTTTTAATTTCAGATTTACTTTCCCCGATGGAACTCCCGCTGTTTTCAAGTTCGTAGCAGATGAAGGTGGTTACCGCGTGGAATCTGACCTGGTGCCCACGCCCCATCCTCTTCCCGCCCACGCTATCGCCCAGATCGAGAAGGCTCGTCAGGAAGACGCTGCTGCAGCTGCTGCAGGTGTACGTGGATCATACAGCGCTGCTTCAGATTCTTCTTCTCAGTTTACTGGAGTACCTGCTGGAGGCCTCGGTAGTTCACCTGCTGGAGGTTTCGGTGGTTCAACTGGTGGAGGGTTCGGTGCTTCACCTGTTGGTGGCTTCAGTGGTTCACCTGCTGGTGGCTTCGGTAGTTTACCTGCTGGTGGCTTCGGTAGTTCGAGCCGTGGATCCACTATCGTGGCTCCCAGTAGGACTTACGGTGCGCCATGATCATACTGTACCAAAGACGCCATAATCTTCACTCATTTTCACTGGATATTCATTACTTAATTGATACCACTGTGATTACTGTTGCCGTTATTATTTCTTAGCCCTACTATTGTTAATTTAGCAACACTTCATCTTTGCACTTTGTCATATGATGTTGCGTAGACTATGTGCTTATTACTTTTACTCTGATTTATTTAATAAAAACAATTGGTAAAGCACTTATTTTCTGTTTTTTTTTATGCAATTATAACACAATGCATATTGATAAATTAGACACATGTGCAACTCTTGGGTATCTTTATTGAGGAAACGTTTCGCCACACAGTGGCTTCATCAGTCCATACAAAGGAGAATCTTGAAGAACAGGAGGAGAATGAGGTAATCAGTCCCTCAACCTTGAGTCGATGTGGTCAGTCCATCAATCTTGAATTGATGGACTGACCACATCGACTCAAGGTTGAGGGACTGATTACCTCATTCTCCTCCTGTTCTTCAAGATTCTCCTTTGTATGGACTGATGAAGCCACTGTGTGGCGAAACGTTTCCTCAATAAAGATACCCAAGAGTTGCACATGTGTCTAATTTATCAACATGTCGGTTCTCTGAACCATTCATCTACAATGCATATTGACTTCGAAAAACAGTGTATTTCATAATAGTTGTTAATTGAATGATAGTCGGTGCTATCTACATTGTTTTGTCAAAATTCATTAAATATATATATATATATATATATATATATATATATATATATATATATATATATATATATATATATATATATATAATGTCGTGCCGAATAGGTAAAACTTGTGATTTTGGCTTAAATAGCAACGCTTTTCTTGCCGAATAAGGCAAAGCGAAAATTTGTGTAGGCAATAATTTCGCAAAAATCATTCTGACCCTAACGGAAAAAAATATTTTGTCTTTATTATTAAATTATTATAAACTTATCTAAAATATATTTAGTTGCGTTAAGCTAAATTAAATTGTGCTTGATACAATAAGATTAGGAAAGTTTTCTAGGGTTCCTTTGGTACAATATTATTAATTTTTACATTAACATAAATGAAAAATTATATCTTTAAACGTATAAGAGAAAATTTTAGAAAGAACTTAATTTTAAATGAGTTCTTGCTAATTGACCAATTTTACCTATTCGGCACGACATATACACGATAAGTGTCTCCAGACACAGTGTCTGACTCCAAAGGTGTGTGTGAACTCGCCTAATTGTGGTTGCAGGAGTCGAGTCATAGCTACTGGCCCTGCCTCTTCGCTGGTAGATACTAGGTCATCTCCCTACTCCATGAGCTTCATCATACCTCTTCTCAAAGCTATGTATGGTTCCTTCCTCCACAACATCACTCTCCAGACTATTCCACTTCCTGACAACTCTGTGAGTTAAGAAATGCGTCCTAACATTCCTGTGACTCATCTGAGTCTTCAACTTCCAATTATGACCACTTGTTGCTGTGTCCCATCTCTGGAACATCCTGTCTCTGTCCACCTTGTCAATTCCTCTCTGATATGTTATTATGTCCTCCCCTGTTCCTCCTGTGCTCCAATGTTGTCAGATAAATTTCCCTTAACTTCTCCTCGTAGGACATACCCCTTAACTCCGGGACTAGTCTTGCTGCAAACCTTTGCACTCTAATTTCTTGACGTGCTTGACCAGGTGTTGGTTCCAAACTGGTGCTGCATACTCCAATAAGGGTCTGACGTACACGGTGTACAGAGTCCTGAACGATTTCCCATTGATGTGTCGGGACGCTATTCGGAGGTTTGCCAAGCACCAATGTGCTGCAGCAGTTATTTGGATGATGTGCGTCTCAGGGGATGTGCCCGGTGTTGTACTCACCTCAAGATCCTCCTTAAGTGAGGTTTGCAGTCTTTGGACCTCCAGCCTGTACTCAGTCTGCGGTTTTCTTTGCTGTTCCCCAATCTTCATTACTTTGCACTTTGTGGGATTAAACTCCAGGAGCCAGTTGCTTGACCAGGCTAAACATTATCTGCAAACTGGGATAGTTTTGAGTCTTTCCCTTCCGTCATGTCATTCGCATATACCAGAAACAGCACCGGTCCTAGTACTGACCCCTGTGGAACCCCACTCGTTACAGACGCCCACTCTGACACGTACCATGTACCATGACTCATTGTCTTCCTGTCCGGTATTCTCTGATACACTGCAGTGCCTTTCCTGTTAAACCTGCCTGATCCTCCAGCTTTTACACTAATCTCTTGAGTGGAACTGTGTCGAAAGCCTTCCTGCAGTCCAAGAAGAAGCATTCAACCCACCCCTCTCTTGTCTTACTTCAGTCACCTTGTCGTAAAACACCAATACGACAACACAGGGTTTCCCTTCCCTGCTGGTTGCTGTGTATAAGCTCATTCTTTTCTAAATGTTTCACCACTCTTCTGATCTCCGTGACTTAGCATACTATGCATGTGAATAAAACTGGTCTGTAATTTAATGCTGTATGTCTGTCTTCTTTCTTAAAAATTGGGACTACATTTGCTGTCTTCTACACCTCAGGTAGTCACCCTATTTCGATAAACGTGTTGATTGTTGTTAATGGCACATACAGGGCCTCTGCTTCCTCTCTCATGACCCACGGAGAGATGTCCAGTCCCACCACCTTTGAGGTATCTAGTTCACTCAGCAGCCTCTTTACCTCCTCCTCGGTTGTTTATTGTGTCCAGCACTTGTTGGTGTACTCCACCATTCCGGCTTAACATAAGAACATAAGAATGTAGAAACACTGCAGAAGGCCTACTGGCCCATACGAGGCAGGTCCTTATCAAAACGACATCTACCTAAAGCTACCCAAGAAATAACTCCCGTACCCCATGACACCAATCAAACCCAGTATCTTCTTAAAGCTACCCAAGGTCCTAGCCTCTATCACCCCACTGGGAAGACTGTTCCACGCATCTACAACTCTGTTAGAAAACCAGTACTTACCTATGTCCTTTCTAAATCTAAATTTATCCAAGATTGAGACACTTATGCAGCATATGGGAATCTTTATTCAGGAAACGTTTCGCCACACAGTTTCTTCATCAGTCCAATACAAAGAGGAAGGTGTAAGGAGAGGAGGAGTATGAGGTAATCAGTCCCTCAACCTGGAGTCGATGTGTTGTTAGGTAAGACACATATGCAACAGTTAGGTATCTTTATTTCGAAACGTTTCGCCTACACAGTAGGCTTCTTCAGTCGAGTACAGAAAAGTTGATAGAAGCAGAAGATACTTGAAGACGATGTAATCAGTCCATCACCCTTAAAGTTTTGAGGTGGTCAGTCCCTCAGTCTGGAGAAGAGCATTGTTCCATAGAATGAAACAATATGGAGATGAAGTGACAGGATGGAGCCTTATATAGCGCCGAGAGGTGAGACGTAGGTCACTAGAAGAGGTAAGAACTCAGATGTTGAGAGGTCAGGTCCCTCTCAAATCCAGCCGTTCTCACTAGTAGAGGTTGTCGAAGTTGATTGAAGGTCTGTACCAAGATACCCTTGTGTTGCAGTGTCTGACAGATTGAACATTAAAATGGTATAAAATACCGACAGGTTGTTAGGTAAGACACATATGCAACAGTTAGGTATCTTTATTTCGAAACGTTTCGCCTACACAGTAGGCTTCTTCAGTCGAGTACAGAAAAGATGATAGAAGCAGAAGATACTTGAAGACGATGTAATCAGTCCATCACCCTTAAAGTTTTGAGGTGGTCAGTCCCTCAGTCTGGAGAAGAGCAGAATCTAATACCTTTAAGATCTTTTATAATTTTAATATCATTCCAGTGTTTTAAAGTTTTTGCATTTATCTTTCCATTTGTGAACTTTAACAACATAACTGTAAACTATGGTGCTCTTCGTAAAGGGATAAAATACAATTAATTGAAGAATATATCTACAATACTTGACTGGTCCGTTGCCTGGACCCGCACCTCGACTCACCCGCAGAAGACAAACTTTCCAGTTGGTTCTAAAATAATCAAAACAGCTGGATCCTGTGTAATACACAATTACACTGGACCCCAGTTTATTACAGTTTAGATCAATTATTCACGTCAAATATTTGTGGACTGTACAGTATGTGGAATGTTTAGCCGTGGTGACTAAACTTACGACACAATTGCCATGATATTACTTTAATGGCGCATCGTAGCCTACACACTCTCACAACTAGGTCACTAGTAGTTACAGTGTCATTGTCATTTGGAATTGTTTACAACCTCTGTACCTGATTTGACTCATGGTGTATTAGAACGGTATCTGGCGGTCTCATTATTTTCCTCGCATCAGCTGAACAGATCGTCTTCTGTGAAGTGTGAGAGATGCAATGTTCATGTCTGTGGAGCTCAGAGTACCCGAGTTGTGTACTGGATGGAGAGTCAGGCTTGAGAAAGCTACTTCTGTGTTTTTTGGTTTGTTTTATTATTGGTTAATGATGTTGCTTATACAATTTCTGGATTTTGGCATATTCAGTTAAATGTAGTTATTTATAGGTTTTTGTCTAACAGTCATTCTTTTGTTCCATTCTCTCTAAATGTCTGAATCCCCTTAACAACCCCTCCTCAGCCCTCTAAATAAAACTCTTAATAATCCTGCATCTCCTAATCTCGAAGCTACCGATTCTCTGCATCTCCACTACCTCCAGACTTCTTGTTGCAATATTCACCACCCATAAGAGTGTTGGTACCACTATACTCTCAAACATTGCCCTCTTTAAGTTACCTATAGAAGGAAACAGGGGAATTTATGAGAGTACAGTGGTACCAACGCTTTTATATGGATGTGAAGTATGGGTCTTGAATGTTGCAACAAGGAGAAGGCAGGAAACAGTAGAGATGTCATGTCTGAGGGCAATGTGTGGTGTGAATATAGTGCAGAGAAAGAGTAGTTTGGAGATTAGGAGGTGCGAGGTTTCTAAAACTATTATCCAGAGGACTGAAGAGGGGTTGTTGAGGTGGTTCGAACATTTAGAGAGGATGGAACGAAACAGAATGACTTGGAGAGTGTATAAATTTGTAGTAAAGGAAGGCGGGGTAGGAGTTGTCCTAGGAAAGGTTAGAGAGGGGGGGGGGGTAAAGGAGGTTTGTGTGCTAGGGGATTGTACTTCAAGCAAGCGTGTTTGAGCGTCTTCGATAGAAGCGAGTGGAGACAAATGGTTTTTAGGATTTGGCGTGCTGTTGGAGTGTGAGCAAAATAAA